TTGCTTCTTACTATATATAAATATTGTTGCTCTCGTTAAACGATTCACGACTGTGCTGGATAATATCAATAATATATATACTATATATACTATATAGTATATACTTAAGTATATATAATTATATATATATATGTTGTATATCGTATCATTTTTTTTTTATTTTTGTTGTTTAAGCTCTCTTAAAATTTCGCGATCATACGGAACGAACAATTTTTTTTTTCGCGGCAAGCTTTGTTCTCTCATTGATCCTTCTCTTATTTTTTTCTTTTTTTTTTTTTCTTTTTGATTATTGAACGACGTTAAAAAAAAAAACCACGCAATTACACTATAGTCAGAGAACACAAACACATCTTCCTCAATATGTGCTCTAGTAGTACTGTGCAACAGGAATTTTTTTTTTTATTTCCCTTTTGTTTTTTTTCATTTCTTTAAAAAAAACTTTCACGATCTACGTTTCTCTCTCTCTCTCTTTTCGTCAAAAATTTTTCCCATAAATTGTACGATTAATTCTATAGACGTTTGTCTTTCTATTTTTTCTTTTTTTTCTTTTTTTTTTTTTCCTTTTTTGTTCACTTCCCCCTTCTCTCTAAATATCCAAAGCGAGATTCGTGCATTTTCAACTTCAATTGATTTTTGTACATAGTTAACTTTTCTCATTTTCTTTCGTTCGTTTATCATTTCCCCTTTTTTTTATCCTTCCTTCGTAAAAAATTTTTTTTCTTTCTTATTTCCTTAAAAACTAATCATTGAATTACACAATAAATCACAGTTGATCCGTGCAGTAAAGGAATTCCGCGGGAAAATTCCTATTACTCAGATGCGACAAGTTGCACCATTGACAAAAGTGATGTTTTTGCTTTTCGTGCCTTGACTAGTGTACGTAAAGCTCGTAACTATTCATTATCCCTTTCTCTCTTTTTCTCTCTCCTCCCCTCCCTCTCTTCCTAATTCCTTATTTCTTTTCTTTATCCATCTAGAAAACCATGCAGACAATCGATATATCCCTTAATTATTGCACACATGAACTACCTTTTAACGATGGTTCCGAACGTATGTCACACAGCAATTAGTTCATCAACCTAACCTCAATCCGAAAAATAGTATATTATTCTCTTACTTTTTTCCGCACCTTTCTCCATTTTCTTTTTCTCTCTTTTTTTCTTTCTTTCTTTCTTTCCATCGCGATCCTCTCGCAGAGAAATCGAATTCTTATCTTTAACAGTATGAAAAATAGCGATCGAATCAGTAGGATAATTTTTCTTAATCGACTGATAGACGATAACAATGAACTTTGTCTAAGAATCAACCAAAAAAAAAAAAAAAAAAAAAAACTCGCGACACGGATGAAAAGATCCAATCCAACAACGACAAACAGTTAGGTTAACTAATCAATCGATCACGATCAATATGGATAATAATCGAACAATCGAAACAACGATGAAATGCTATAATTCCTCGGCTCTTACCGTGTGAACACAAGTCGCGGATCCTAAGAAGACACAGGAGAGAAAAAAAAAAATACTCCTCAGCTTCAAGCTATTATTTCCCACTAACGAGAGCTTGGAGAACTCTACTATGATTGATTCATTGCGAGAATCGAGAGCAGACGACAAGAAGACTTTGAGAAGGCAATGCTCAACGAATTTGTATTCTGGCTGGGATTGGAAAAGAAATGGGCTATAAAAGAGTATACAAAGATCTTGTGCACGCGAGGAATTGATTTCACATTTTAGAGGAAGACAATATGCCCAAGGAATAGTTTTCTCAGAAACAATGACATCTCTCCATATATCTTCTCCAGGAAGAGACGAACAGACGAGAAGTCAAGAACTGACCGAGCGCTACCGTAAAGTATATATATTTACAAAATTGTCTCTCCAATCTCGTGTCAATTTCGTCTCGACGAATAAGAAATGGATATTTAATACCCTTGAAAGATAATCTCGTATCTGCCCGGAGCGGGCTTGACGCGACCCGAAGGGAACAACAACAACAACACAGCAAGAATAATAAATACACTGACTAATAATTCAGCTTCGAACGAAAATGAACCTTGGAGAGAGAAGCAGCATATACTTCAAATATAATCTCACAAATCTCGTTCCCACACCACCATATAGCATATACTCGTCCCCCATGTACACACAGCCGGATATATACGCAACGCGCATGGATTTCACCATGGAAAGGAAACGAGAAGAAACCGAGTTTTGAATCTCGGTTTTACCGGCCAGCAGAGAGATAGAACAAACCGGTGAGGTGAATGGCTTTTAATTGTGATTCATTCTCCGCGTATACTTGCGCTTGATCTTTTCCTCTGGCTTACCTGAGCGGCCGCAATCACTGCAAGAGACCAACTCCTCGGAACCGCCGGTCTTTTTATTTTCCCTAGCATCGCCCAGACAGAAGTCGCAGTACGGGGATGGTTGCGCGGACTTGCCAGTTTTTTTATCGTTCGTCCCTGGTGTTGGCGGGCCCTCGGCTCTCACCGAGGAAGGCGATGGCACGGCCGTGCCTGGCGACGGCACTGCCGGCAGATGCTCCTCCTTCGCAGTTGGTATTGTAGGCGAGGCTGGCGCTACCGTTGTTGTTGCCACCGTCGGCAATTGTTGCTGCTGAGACGGCTGTTGTTGTTGCTGCTGCTGAGACGAAGGTTGCTGCTGCTGTTGCTGAGACGGTTGCTGCTGCTGCTGAGACGGTTGCTGTTGTTGCTGTTGCTGCTGCTGCGACTGTTGCGGCTGAGGTTGCGCTGGCTGAGACTGCGGCTGTGGCTGCGTCGAAGCTCCCGCAGCGGACGCGGAGGGCGCTGCGGGAGAGGGACTCGAAGTGCTTGACGAAGTTGCATTCTGACGACCCCGACGTGTACCACCTGATCACAAACCGACCACATACCCAGTTGCGCTTTGCGTCACAAGCTAATGACCATGCACACTGGCTTAGAGACAATGATTTAGAGTCAATTTCAGAGTGATGGCGTGCAACGATAATCGATTCGTATTCGTATTCAAGGAAATTATGAACATCAATTTTCACTTGTAAAATCACACAAATCAATTGAATATCCGAATAAATTAGTTTAAATCGTTTCACTTTAATTTTCAGCTTTAAATCTTCAATATACAAGAGAAGCTCTCGACTGTTTAAGGATCAGTGACCTCCTCGATTTGCAGAGTTATTTCCTTCGCAACAAATATACACAACAGACATATGTTGCGTTTCGAAAGAATCGTTTTCTCTACAAAGAAGGAAAATTAATTTAGCCAAGAGTAATGTTGTAATTTTCTTGAACGGAACGAGCAAGGCAAGAGCAAGAAATCTCCTTGGTAATTTTGAACAATATCGAGAGAGATTGATCCGAGGAATCGCTTAAGGCGAAATTGTTGAAACAAGAATCGATTATTCGATGCATCACAAATTTAAGTTTTAACGAAAACAATGGCACAACAATAAGGAAACAAATG